TTTCATTAGATGGTTATAGGAGACACACATAGAAGTTACATGAGACACATTATATATATATCAATAAAAGAATACTCAATATTTGTTTCTTCCCAAGCCAGTATCTTGTTATGAGTGAAAGAGTTTCACTAACACTTTTTTTTCTCTTTATCTGGAGAAAAAATTGATGAAAATCTTTCATCGTGTGGAAAGACGCTCGTGGCTTTAGCGTGCTTTTCTGCATTTTTGCTCAAATCATTCCCTTTTGTTGTAGCCTGTTCTTTCCTATCAGAATATTCATCATGAGAAGAAGCAGGATCACTATGTCAAACTATCAGTAGAATGGGACAGCAGTACATATGAATGGTAAAAGTAAGATTTCATTCATGACAATGTTGGTATCTTGCTTCTAGTTTTGCCTAAAGGAAAATAAATGCTAATTTATCAAAGACAAGCACATCGTCATGTTAACTTTTGTAATTGTACCACAACTTTTGCCTGCAGGAAGTTTAACTTCCTAGGTGAATTGATTGTTTATTTCAAAACATTCAGCATGCCCATGCTCAGCAATGATACAAACATCTCTGATTTTATCAGAAGTCTTTGTTTCACAATTAGGAAGTAGTTGACTGATGTTTTTGATTGCTGTTCCAAAGTTATTGAATGCTTTTGCTTACATCAAGTATGCTCATGTCTATGTTGATTTAAGGTCAAATGTCAGATATATAACTATTTTTACTAACTATTATAACTATTTATTTTCAGGTTTTAATCTTTTTTTTTTTTTTTTATCCAGTTTTTTAATTCATATTAATTTAACTCCTCGGTGTGAATTTCTTTCATTTAAGCTTCTGTTGTGCATTTATTGTTGTTTTTTACTCTATGTACTTAAAGCCACAGCAGGAAGTTGTTTGTAAATATAGTAAATATTGTTGTAAATATTCAACAAAAACTGTGTATTTGTTGAATTAAAAACAAATTATGTGGGCTAAATCAAAAGTTTAGTTTACAGATTTCTTTAAAAAAGCTAATCCAAATAGCAAAATTTCAAATGAGTTGACAATTGCAAAAAATGATTTTACTTCAAAGTGACATACTCTTTTCTGCAAAACCAGTTTGCTCTTTGTTAAACTGGATGGTTGACTTATTTTACGTTTCCCAGGGAAGGTGTTGTCTTGTTACGCACAATCGTTTTCTTCAGAAATAATTTAATCACCGCTGCCAGTAACAGGTTACTAAAGAACTGTAGCACTGAGGCTAGCCTTTGATGAGACTCTGTGTTTCGGCTTTCTGGGCAGGTAGCGTCATGTGAAATAAATGATTAATCTGGCTGATCTTTGATAGATTGTTAAAGACAATATAATCAGTAAAAGTGCAGCTTTTTAAAGAATCTAGTCAGGGGTCAACAATGCAATAACTTACATAAAGTTATGTTTCTTTAAGATTTATAGAAAGTAAATGATTGCAGAGATGGACATTCATACTGAGAAGGTAGGTGATGGTGGCAAGGGGAGCTGTGGCTATTCTCCAGTAGCTCGCCACCATCAAATACAAATGCAAATTGCTTTTTGAGCCCTCTGGACTTCAAAAAGTGCTACATACGTACAGGACATTTACCATTTATGCCATTTTTACTATCAATTTAAGAGTTGTACCTTTCCACTGTAACCACGAGCTTAGTCAGCATAAAAGTGTAGCTGCAAAGTCAATGACTGAATACTGAGTTTCATTAAACAGTCAGGTCCCAAAGTAATCTACTTTTCTCAAAAGAAATGGTGCTGCTTGCTGCCTTGAATATTTTTAGTGCTGAAGTTCTTAACAAGAAGAGGAACCCATGAATCAAATTCTGCTTAAAGCCCCATACACTGTGATCTTTTATCTATCTTTTAACAGCTCAATGCTAAGAAAACAAGAAATGTTCAAAAACTTTACTAATAAAGGAACATTTGTCTCCCTAGTCAAAATTGATAGTGGACATGTAAAGCAGGTCAAAATCTACAAATATCTAACAGTTGAAATAGACAATAAATTGTGCTTAAATCATTTTCATAAAATAAATGTAGGAAACAGCAACAGATGATGCATTTTCTCTGAAAACTAAAAAAAATGGGATTAGATAGCATTCTCTAAATATTTTAAAAAGCTCTTTACAGAGTGCTTGACATTAATATTTCAACATTACTTCCTGTTCACCCCTTCATTGTTGCCTAGGGCAGGGACATAACCTCCACCGGGCTGTCTGAGTCACAATCCCCACCTACCAGTACTTCCTGTGAAACCACAGGAACATTTCGAAAGTAGGGTGCTACTTTTTGTACTCCATGTGAATAGATACTTTTGTTATCAACTACCTCTGAAAGGTGTGTTGACACAGGAAACTGTTGTCACTGACAATAAGTGATCTTCCTAACAACATTTTGTTAAAAGTTATATGAACCACATTAAAAAACTGGTTTTAAAATGGGACATTTAAAATAGAGAAAACTGTAATTTGAAATGTTTGTAATTTATGATAAATAATAACCTAGACAGTAAAATATATATGTTGCTGTCAAGATTTGTAGAATCACTTAAATTGAATTAATCTTTTTAGGTGTATTCTGTCAGTGTGTCTGCATATCGGCATAAACATGTCTTGGCATGTGTCAAGGGCACATTGAAATAAACCCAACCCTTTGAGACACAGGTGCATGCGACTCTTTTATTCGGTCTGACGTCATGCCTCTGTCCGATGGTTCTGAACTGGGCGGTTGTGTTCCTGTGCGGGATATGAGTTTAAATGTCATGCATGTTCCCCTTCACAGATTACGTCTGGAATGTGAGCTCTTCTGTGGGGTGGTGGCGTTGGCCGTGCGCCCCGCGTTGCCTGTTGAGGGCATTACGGTGGTTTTAGGTAACGACCTAGTGGGTGCGCGCATGTGGCCTGTCACCCTACCAATCAGCCCTGCCACTATAAAGCCATTAGCGCTGGTGAACGACCGTGATGAGTGTGAGGTTACTGGTACATTCATGTGTAGTGCAAAGATGCGCTCTCGGTGTGTGCCTGTTAGTTAGACGCAAGGCGGAAAAACAGGACATTTGTTTTTGTCTCTCAGTGACTGTCCTCTTCCATTCCACGTCCTGATGGCTAAACAGAGCGTTTATTCCCTTCAGAGAGCGTTGGTTTTGCTCTTGCCTCCAGGTGACTTGTCAGGTAGCTCACGGGGTTACCTTCTCAAATGCACAGTTTTTGTGAGGTATTTTGAGCCACATGTTGAGTTTGCCAAGTGTGCCGTTAACGTCGTGCACTTTTTAAAAATCCTGTTTCTTGGATGTTCTGTACGTCGAGGGATAGGTTAAAGTTTAAACGCACTTGTACTAGGCCGTTTTGTTTGGCCTCAGTTCTGGTTCTGCTCTCGTACTCTCCCTGCTTCACCTAATTCTTAAATGTTTCTGAAGGTGCACTAGTTGCTGAGAACGTGAAGTTGGAGTAGATGATGAGCTGATTAGTCTGAGATAGACCACCCCTGCAAATCTGGTCGGTAATGCAAATATTCGTAACAAATTACATGTATGTATTTCTGTAAATATTTTTGAAATAATAAACTGAATATTGGATTTTTTTGTTTCTTTTTTTGGATCGGGATTCCCAGGGGGAACCCGTGTTTTGTGGGTGGGGGTGTGACGTTCTCCTCCACTCTACGTGGAGGGAACCGTCATTTATTAATTGTGTTTTGTCCCGAGGCGGACCGGAAGGGGCAGGACCAGGATCCGCTAGGGCCCAGCACATTCTTGATATATAAGCAGCCTGCTCCAGTGCGTCAAGAGAGGGGAGGGGAGTTGTATGAGGGGCCGTTTAGGACAAAATCTACGTTTTGTCTCTCACACACTACCAAAAACTCACGCATACTCAAAAAAATAACTACGCACACGCAAAAAAAAACTCACGCACATTCAAGAAATACTCACACACATTCAAAAAATACTCAAACTGCGTATACACACTACTAAAATGTCACACACGCACACAAACGTTAACTATCTCGCACACATACACTACTAACAGCTCGCACACGCACACAAACGTTTATCTCTCACATACACAAGACTAAAGTTGAACACACACACACACAGTACTAAGACTCGTTTTATGTATGTGTGAGAGCGAGACTCGTTTTTGAATGTGTGAGAGTTGTCACAGAAGAGGCGGGGCATAATTTTTTGATCAAAATAAAAGTATATTTGCACTTCATTGTGTGATTGAAACTATTTTTCAATAGCTACCTTATATTAAACTATGTTAAGGACAAATGTCAAACATAGCAGTCAAACATACACAATAAAGTGCAAATATTTTGAAAACAAAGTAAAAGATCTTGCAGGTATATTAATCTCCCTCCTTTATCAGAAATGAAAAATTATAAATGCACAGTACGTGTTGGGACATTAAGGACACTAAAACAGCAGCATCATTTCTAAGGAAAATAATGGGCTCACAGTTCTTCAGATTACACACAAGATAAACACACACACCCAGTTTCAAGATTTTTTGTGCAACATATATTTATCAGCACGTTAGATCACTTTGCAATGACCTAACATTCCCACCCACTCAACGTGTCATATTCTTAAAGCTCATATCAAGAGCCGGCAACACTGTCAATGAACATATTCAATGACAGGCTGGTGTGTGCAGGACTGACAACACATTGTTTGAATCTAATATGGAAATGAAAACATTCTGCCTTTTCTTTATCCTGGTAAGTGCTAAGGGCTTCTGTCTTTTGGTGTCACCATCATTTATAAACAAGTTTTCTTGTTAGGTAATACTCTGTATTGCTTGATAATAACTTTATTGTTCTGTTAATTTGTCTGAAATTATTGCAATGTTTTACTAAAGTTACATAAGTTTATGCAATATGCACAGTGTCTTGGAATCCAGCTGTCAGCATCAGACATACTGCTGCGGCAAAAGAGGAACTGGGTAATAGAAACCTTTACTTTTGATGAAGGCTATAGTGGACCTTATCCATTGTATTTGGGCAGGGTGAGTATTGATAGAGATAGACATTTAAATGTCAAGATGGAGGATCACTGTAAAAACTGCTCATTGTGTTTCTTGTGATCCAGATTAATATTGCAACAGATATAAGACTTACTGAAATACATGGGCCAGGTGTTGACGAGGAACCTCTGAATTTATTCAAAATTGACAACAAGACAGCAGAGATCTGGGTCATGCAGCCTGTGGACCGTGAGATCCATGATCAGTTTAAGGTGATTAGGAAAAACCACACATTTGAGCAATGTGTTGTTCAAAGTTTAACAGTACGTATTTGTGTGCTTTAGTTATGGAAGTGCTTTTGACTATGAAATGTACTTTGTGTCTCAGCTGATATTTCAGGCGTTTAAAAAAGAAAAGGGTGATATAAATGCAAAAATTGGAATTAATATTGATATTATTGATACAAATGACAACGAACCAAAATTTAACAATCACGTGTATGAGGTCACCATAGAAGAGGCACCATCACAGGGTAAGATTCTCATTTTGTGGACTTTATTACATTACTGAAAGAAATGTCATTTATTTTTAATAGCGACCAACAGTGAAATATAACAGATCTCATCTTATGCTATTTGGCAGGCACTGAGTTGGTCAATGTTACAGCAACAGATCGTGACAGTACCGAGAAGAACAGGAAATTTAGCTTTAGTATAGAGTCAGTGAGTCCGACTCCACAGAACTTTGAATTCGTTATAAATGAGGAGCCTGATTCTGGAAACGGGACCATTTCATTCAAAGGATGTCTGGACCACGAGGTGAGAGCAATCATAATGCGATTAAGTTGTTACAGAACAGAATAGAGCTACAAACTGGCAGAATTAAATCAAAATCTTTGAATTGAACTTTCATGATTTTTAGGAGCATTTTTAAACGTTTGTTCAGTAGTGTAGTTGTTATATGCAGTCAGCTAGATCACTATAATGCACATCCATTCAAACTTAGAATTTTGCTTAAAACTGTTCTGTTCTAACAGAAAAACCCTTTAAAACTGAATTTTCTGTTTACTCTTTAGAAGGCACAGAAATACACCCTTATTGTGAAAGCCACAGACCATGGACAACCGAAATCACTCTCCAGTTCTACAACAGTGATAATCAATATAGAGGACGGAAACAGACATCTTCCAGTGTTCACAAAGCAAAAAGTGAGCGTGTAAAAATTTCAGCTACAAATTTAGTTGCAACATTTAAAACTATCTAATACACCATATTTAACATTGTTTTACTCCACAGGGCGAAGCAAGTGTGAAAGAAGGACTGCAAGGTGTTCTCATTTCACGTCTGCAAGTTACAGATGAAGACACCAGAGGCACAAAGGCCTGGAAAGCAAAATATAAAATCCAAGGAGATACAAACGGCAACTTCAGAATTGATACTGATCCTGAGACAAACGAAGGTCTAGTCTATGTGCAAAAGGTAGCATGCAAAAGTTCCTTCACACTTCTCATTCAACGTGCATACTTTGCTCAAGGGACTGGTAACTAATGCAGGCTATACGCTGCCTGTTGCTTCTTGATTGATGATCAACATACAAAACAACAAAGACATGAGGAATACTTTCAAAGTCCATGAATGCTTATTTTGTCCAATAAGCTTAAGATGTCTTGTAGTTATTTGGCATTATAGGTGCAGTCGTATAGTTATTATAGCTACTTGCATTTCACATATGCAAGGGCCTTCATTTGGCTGAAGAATCTTCCTATCTTCATACTTAGCCTGTTTTGATTCTCAAGTTTACACCAGTTCTTTCTCTATCTTCCTGACTTAGGAATGAAGATGTGTTTTTGACAGGTCTTCATTGTGCATATCAAATACTATATTGTGCTCCAATCAGATAGAAAATATTTATGTCTAAGCCATCAATGGACAAGAAAGAATAAATGCTCATCAGGATATAAAAAGCAGAATTAGGCACTTTTTTATTTCCAGTTCAATCTCATTTTGACATTTTGAATCCTGTAGGCTTTTCTAATTTACGTGAAAGCTGCAGTATGTAACTTTTATAAAAATTATTTTTATTTTAATTTTTTTTTTTTTTACGTATATAGTTGAAACTGTCACTAAGCTCTGCTGTTCTCCACCAGTTTTCCCAATGCTAAATAGAAACAACCAGAGAGACAATATGGGTCTTAGCGCTTTCAATCAGCCCATGTGCCCGTCGCTATCAGGAGAGTCTGTTGTGAATGCTAAGGCTAGTTAGCATGGACATCAATAACTGCGGATAAACAGTTTTCAAGTAACAATGAGTTGTTTCTCCACCATTAACACATTTAGAAACGAATTCATGAGGTTGATTGGCAGCGCTAAAAACCATCCTCCTGGCTGCAATTGGCTTTTTTTCCTAAAACTTACATTCTGCAGCTTTAATGTCTAAAAAAAGGCTTTTTGTTATGCTAAAATTTTATATATATATATATATATTATCCCATTTTGTTGGTGGGAATAACTGTTTTTTTTGTAATACTCAAACAAAATAAAATAGTTTATATTCATAAAAGTCAAATTTGAGTTTCATATTAATTAATGAAACTGAAAAGTAGATAAATGAAAGATGGACAATCTCAATCCACAGCCCAAAATAAGACAAATCAAAAGGTTCAAAACATTTCCACTGTATTTTTTTTTAATATCCAAATGTAAACACACTTTTACTAAGCTGCTGTCAAAAGATGACCTTTGAATACTTATTCCTTTTTCAGATACTCGACTATGAGGAAGATCCTTTGAAGAACATCATCATCTCTGCAGAGAATGAGATTCTCTACTTTACTTGCAAAGTCATAAACCGCAATACTGCTGGTCTTTGGGAAATTAAGACTGTCAATGGTAGCACTTTCAGTGAGGCACAAGGTGTGACTGGAACAAAAGAAATGCGTTTGTCCACCTATCACCTGACAGTAAACATAGAAGATGTCAATGAACCCCCTGTCTTTGATCCATCAAACAAAACCATTACCGCATATGAGGATGTTGCGTTGGGTTACTATTTGGAGACACTAATTGCTAAAGACCCTGATGTTAATGGTGCAAATCAAATCCGGTACATAAAGATGCCATAACATGGCTGTATTTGAAGAGTACAACATTGGAGTTTTTAAGTCTAGCATAACCATAAAAAATATCTTTCATGTGTTCCAGATACATGATTGGAGAAGATCCAGCTGGTTTTGTTACAGTGGACTCCAACTCAGGAAAAATAACCACATCAAAGAGTTTAGACCGAGAGTCACAGTTAGTTAAAGATGGACTGTATGTCATCAAAATATATGCCACTGACAATGGTATGACCAGGAAAATCATTAATACTTCTTAATGTTAAACCCCGCCGGCAATATTGACTAATAATGTAAAATGCATTTTTTGTGTTCAAGGTGAACCGTCCCAGACTGGCACAGCAACACTCAGCATCAAGATTGTCGATGTAAACGACAATGCTCCATCCTTGGACAAAAGCATTATCGACATGTGCCAAACAGATAAAATCTCATTGGTCAGTGTCACAGCTTTAGATCCAGATGCAGAACCATACAGTGGGCCTTTCTCGTTCAAGCTTCTTGGAGATGTTAAGGACAAGTGGAGGATTGATCCTGAAAAGGGTGAGCTCTGCCCCAGAAAAAACACCTTCAGATCAACAGAAATAAATAACCAGCTATGTTTTTCTATTATTATTTTTAGGCCATTCCTTCAAGCTTGTGAATGAACACAAAGCTACAATTATGATTTTCGGACAGCATGAATTGCAGCTAGAAGTGTCAGATCGTCAAGGAAAAACAGCTGTCCACAGCTTGTCAGTTAGTGTGTGCAAATGCTCCAAAACACCTAAGCCAGACTGCAGACTCAAGAAACATACTGGATCCAGACTCGGACCAGGAGCTCTGGGAATTTTATTTTTAAGCATTTTACTGTTCATAGGTACGACTAAGTCTAAGTCATTCATGTCAACAGAATCCTAATGAACTGAAAACAATATATGTATTTATATTTATGTTGTGTCTGATCTTCACACTAGGCTTTCTGCTTTTAACTTTTCTGATGTCATGTAAGCCTGAGAGGATACCATTCCCCAATGACTCTGCAGGGCAATATTTAATGATTAGTAACTCAGAGGGACCTGGATCTGATTGCAAAGTAAACTTCCTAACTTGAAGTTATCCCTACTTGTTTGTTGAAATATGATTCACCTAAGAGTGAAGATTTTACTGTAAAACTGAAAACATTGTATGTGCTTAAGTTGCCTTTAGGAAACCTGGGCCACATTGGTCATGGACAACAGATGCAGATATCTCAAGGCAAGCCATTGACAGTGATGCCGGTAAGTGCTGCCAACTGTTTTAATGCTCTGTAACCTAATGCATCACATTTTGTTCACGTGTAGTAGAAAGGAAACTGTATACATAATGGTAATGGTCACTTTTGCAAAGCATCTTCCTTTTTGTATTGCAATGGCATATTCTTGAAAGCATTACATTTTTTTATGGTTTTTTTTAATGTTTTGTTTGAGTAAAATGCCATAAATCATTGGCCCCACAATTTTTTTCCAGGTATTAGTTGATGACAACTCACAAATGAGTCAGAACACGATAAGCTGCCAGCAAGAAACAATCCTTGAGATAAATTCTGCTCTGCCGGTGAATACATTTTAATTATTATTGCTATTTCTGGCATGTGTTTTTGTTTTACAGTAATTCAAGCAAACATAATTTTGCTCACAATATTTTTCATGCTTTTTTCTCTTTTTCTGTCTTATTGTCAAGACTATTGATGGGCAATGGATGATTCCCCATGGCTCTTCTACTTCAGGCATGAAGAAGAGACATCAGCAGCAAGAAATAAAGAAAGCAAACCAAACGGTACAATTGCATATACTTACACTGTAGTACTTTACATAGTTAACTTACAGTGGAAATAAAAAGTGCTCAGATGCCTATTTTGGTCTATATTTCTTATTGAAAAATATTAGAAACATCCTGTTTTAATAAATAAGCACACCTTTAAATTTTGCCTGCACTGACAGTATGGTGAATGGTTAAAATAAAGCTTTGTTTAAGCATATTTTGATACTTTCACAATATTCAATTTTATTGAGATTATTATGGGACACAAATATAGTCAATCTGAATAACCTGAAAATAAAATATCTTTTCATAGAATTTGCATTAAATTAACTCATCTCTATCTTGTAACTAAAGCCATCGTTTTCAGAGTTTATGATATCCGTCACGAGAAGGCTTTCATGGTGCCTCAAATTTAGTATACATAATTTTATAAAATGCTTCTCCAAATATATAAAATTGCAGAGAAGATAAACTCTTCTAGTCTTGTGGAAGAAAATGTATAACAGTCTAATATATTTGGCAGGGTTATCACTGGTAGAGTTGTTCCTTCTGCCTTTTGTTTCTAGGTAAAACCGGGAGAAATTATGAACAGTCCAGAGTCCTTGTCAATTTTAGCCCAATTTTAGAGTCTGATGGAAGGCAGAAGAATTTATTCTTCAGAATCACAAAATACAAGCAAATATTCAAATATAAAATATTCAAATGACAGCAAAAGAAAATCAAGTAAGCCAAAGCAGAGACACACATGCAACCAGTCTGAATCTGAAAAAGCATACCATAGATTACTGCAATCTGAAAGACTGGGAGCATAAAGTGTGAAATGCTGAAAGATTTTTATTAAAGCAGACTAAAAAAAAACTAATCAAAAAGAGCTTCAACTGGAAATCAAATTGAACGTGTGAATACTTATGAAACCAAGCACCTTTCAAACCATGTACCTTTTGTCTTTTTTCCTAAAATATTGCGTTTTTTTAGATAAATTGAGCATGAAGAGTGCTGCAGTACATAGGTTTTTTTTTATTTCAGCAAAAAAATGTGTTTTGCTCAGAGAAAACTGTCATGTTATCAGAAGTCTGAAGATACAATTTTTAAATCCTCTGCATGTTAATCTGAACAGAAACTTATTTTATGAGTCATTAATTGTATTCTTTTTAACAACAACAACAAAAACATACTCAAATCCTCTTCTTCTAATTTATAGGTTGGGATACTACAAAGCCAACATGTTTTGGAAGATCTACAGTATAATCTAATAAAAACAAAAGTACTCACTTTGGAGGAGTCGGGCAAGGAGTTGGGTGATTATGAACCCGTCATCTATGCTGATGAGGGAGACTTCGAACACAACTTTGAACTTGATGCTCTCTCTGACCCTGGAGTTTCCTTTGACCAAGACATGGAACTGGATTACACGTTTTTACCTTTGGCCTCAATCTGTTCACCTGACATCGCTGCCTACTTCGGTAAAGAGCAGAGTTTGATACAGCAGGACATATTTATTTCATGAATCTAATGTTCAGTCTCTTGATTTTTGTAATGCAAACAATCTTGAACTCAGCCATACTGTTAAGATATTTAAAAAGCCTAAAATGGTCTTTGAACAAAACTAAATGGCTTTTTGATGCAATTATGGCCTAAACATTGAGAGAGAGGATAAAGATTAACAGCATTGTTTACATCACCTATCTGAAAAGAAACTATTTGAAGGCAGCATTCAAAGATTGTCAGTATTTGTAAAGAAAGGCCAATAAAAACTGCTCTGGCTGATGCGTGTGATTGGCCTATTTAAAACCTGTACATATATGATTCCAATACTGTTTGATGGATGTGCTTGTGCTGCTTGTAGTTTATATTTGGACGGAAAAACAAACCCGCTGAGGGTTGTACTTGGGATTTTATTGTGTATTATTTATTGTAAAAACAAGGAATTGTAGAAATTTATGAAAATAAACAAGTACATTTTCTGCTTATGGGCTGTTTTACAGTTTATATACATGTTTTACTTCTCTGTGTTTATAGCTAATAATAAAAAAAAAATCAAAGATTTGAAATACACAACTTCTTCACAGTGTTGCTGTAAGTGACAGAATTAAGTGTACAGTGCCATGCAAACATATTTATGGCATACGGAGACAAAGTAATACCCCAGACAGTTCGGGAATACAACTGAAGTTATAAGCAGACAGACCTAGGTTATCAAAACCTATCCTACACTCAGTACAGTCTCATGGAGTAATGTTCATTCTGTTATCCAAATGTGTGTATTAGTTGGCCAGTGTTAGCCCATGGAGGAATTGTCGCACTCCCCCGACAGTCACATAGCATGCTGTTGTTTCGTGGAGCCACGATGCCTCAAACGGCGCCATTTCAAATCCTCCTCTACCTGTTCTCCACTCAGTGGTGGTGCCTGGGAGGCCCTAGATGTTGTTGCAATTTACCCTGGAGAAGTCATAGCACCCCGATAGCACCCACAAGACAATCTCAGATTATTATTTTCTTTTTTATCTACGTTAATATTCTTCATATTTGGTTACTGAGATATTTTCATGTTGTTATCCACCAATTGTACAATATTTTCAAACTGTGGTTGTATTTACCATATAAAAGGATAATAAGCAGATTTAAACATTACTAAATTGAACAACGTATATAAAAATTTTCTTCAGCAACGCATGCAGGTCCGACCTACACTGAGAAACCTCTGGTTGATGCCAGACCTTCGCTAAGCAGCATTCACATGTTGGTACCAGTACCTAGGAGTCGGTTTATTTAATTTTATTGCCCTCTACTGGTAGAAGTACACCAAGCAATTTTTATTTTGCATATTCCTGCACTGGCTCTAAATTTAATGTCGATCACTGCACATAAGTTTAATTTAGAATATGGGTTTAATGTAACAGTTACTACAGTTTAATGTAGTTACTTTGCTTTGAGGGTAAAGCTCATTGCAATGTGTGAGAACATGACAGTATAGCTGGTGATAATGTGGCCTAGAAAAATATTGTCATCTGTTTTGTTTTCTTTGTTTTTTTTTGTTGTTTTTTTTTGTTTTTTACCATATTCAACCTTAAGAGTCTAGACAAGACAAGATTATAAATATAGCACAATTTATTAACAAGGTGATTCAAAAGGATTCAAGGAATATGTTTATAATAACTGTAAAACATAAAATAGAAATTTGAAATAAATAAATTGAAACAAATCATGAAAGACTGTCTGATAAGAGATGTTTGCACATGTTCTCATGTTTATATGGAATTGGTTCCAGAGCTGAGCTGCATGTAGGTCAATGTGAAATAACACTATGGCGCCAAAACTCGTGAATTATCAATGCTTTGGATGATCTAAAAATATTTTCAGGTTTAAAACAGTTCAAGTAGCAGTGGATTTCTCATAGTTCCAGACATACAATGGACATGACAAATCTTTTTCAACTAATAATGTCAGAAGTGACCCTGACACTCCAGAGTCTGAGACCTGAAACTAAAAGAAATGATACATAAATGTCAAAGGGCAGTCTAAAACAAACTTTTTCTGAGATTGGTAAAATATTTCAACATGAAGAGATATGTTTCCATCATTTTTTTTTTCATACAACTCACATTCCCAAAAAATTACAATATTACAAACAACCAATACCAGCAATTGTTATTTTCTAAATGCGATAGAACTCCTCTGAGACACGTTTCTCCACCCCTCACTTTAATCCCTCATTATTATTGGTGAGCCTCAATTTTTCACCACCAAATAAGGAGAAATGCACTGAAAAACACTGCTGTGGTGCTTTCTAGCCTCTGGCTGATCATGAATAACATTATGCCACGTAGTAGTTCTGCACACTGCACAGCACCTCATGTTGAGCAATACTTTGAGAACTGCGTTGACTGCCTGAAGCCAGAGTTTCTGAAGTTATGATCCCTTTTATTTTCTTACCTGGAGATCATTTTCACCAAGGCATGTCAAAATAAAACTAAGCATTTGCTCGTTGTTGACAGGATTTCTGTGAAAGCGCTATCTAAGCATTTTCTAAACTTAGTAACCAAATTACTCTCATTCAAAAACAGTTGATATTTGTATTCTTGCATGGTATGGGATTACAGCAATTTAAAAACAGGGAGACTAGAAACAGTATTTTTAACAAGTTGTTTTTAATGAGGGAAAGGTTTGGATTTCGCCTGTACCAACGAGGAAACATTTCAAACTTAAATATTTAAAAAGCATTTTGTGTACTAGATAAGATAAATGACCCCCTAAAAGGTAGAAAAAGGAGAGAGTTATTTTAAAGCTTAAACTAAAAACTGTATGAGGACAAAGCGAATGTGGCATAAACTGACAAGAAAAAGGCACACCAGCAAACGCAGAAGAGTTTTTGGAGAAATTGCAATGATTTAGAGAAAGTTTAATTATTATCAAACACTGTTTTCGGTTTTGTGGATCTCAAGCAAAGCGATCATCATTGTTACAAGAAATTAAATTAAATCCAAACCCTGAACCACAAACGACATTTCATAACTAAAAACTTCACAAAGTCTGGGACCAATAGCAGCTGAACAATTGCCAAAATGTAAAGACATAAAACATGTACTTTTAAAATAGGTCCGGTGGAGAACAATGTGGCTGCGTGAGAACAGCCATGAGCATAAAAACCTTAAACTTCCCTTGGGCTAAACTGAGAGGTAGGCGTACTCTATCTTATTTATTATGTTCAGTTGCTTTACGACAACACCCAGGTTAATTTAAAGTGAAAATGAATGATAACTCAACATGAACAGCATACAAACAAACCTGTTTCTGTATCTGTCTTAATTTCCTTAACTTGAATTTATGTTTCTAGCATAAATTCAATATCATACGTTTGTGATTACCAGTTCAGAACATCGTAAGTAGCATAAATTCTCCACAGTTGGTACAGAACCTGAGAAGCATTGTTTTGAAAATACAGACAATCAATATATGGGTACATGACCTTAACAGATTTTTGGAAAGCCCGGATTAGTGAAAAATGCAAAAATATAAAGATTTCTCGGGACAAAACATTAGCGATTCAAATGAGATAATCTAGCAGGAAGAATCCTCTTTCTACTATGCCAACTGTAACTGTTTTATTCCAAACTAAGACGTTTTTGTGGTTTCTTACTGAGTCAGTGCAAAGATGCAAATTTTGTGGGTTGGACCACAAAGCACTATATATCAAGTAGCCTCTGCCACAGACACTCTTATCAGAGAGGAAAGGAATCAGCGAGAAGCATGATGAGGAGCCTTTCCCTGCTTCTGTTGGTAAGCATTACATTTTTAAATATCCATTCTTATCTACTGATTAAACAAGAATGATCTAAACAACATATCAAGTTTTCTTGTCAGCTCTAGGTGTGTTTAAGTTTTACACACTTTGCACCTTAGTATTCCACACTTTGTCGTAGGGTAATAAACACTGAGTAAGTTAAAATGTTAATATATATTTTAATCTTTCTGTTACCACGTTAGTTGAAACTTTTAAATCTTACATTTCGGTAATAGATCCAAGTATCATCCTTCAGCTTCAGTTCCTTCTTATATTCCAGGGAAACTTTGTTTCCTGATGTCACTTTACTATCAAAGGAAACTGGCTTTTGTTACGCATAGAAAACCTAATTTATAAAGGCATTTCAGAATGCATACCAACACAACAGGTCACTGGATTGTCATCAAGCAGAGAAGGAAACTTGTTTGATGAGTTTGGTTTTAATGCTTTGAATATTTTTTGTTTGTAAGTCTGGCTTGTCTCATACAGAAATCTAAAGTGACAAAGACTCAGCTATTAGGTTCCCTTTAATGCTTTATTCTAGGTGTCAGTAGTGTGAGAACACTAATAAGTACAGCCAGTGAGGCACTTTTGACAACAGCTGCCTGTCTTTCTCTAAGCTTCTCTGAAGTTTTAGCATGTTTGGATTTGTGGAACCAGAAAAAAATACAATTCATGTTAAGACTGCTAAAAAAAATCTAATGATGTTTTGAAAACTATTTTCTTGGAGAAATATGTGGAAAACATGATTATAACTGAACCTGGAGAAAGCGAGAAAGTGCTACGGTGAATAGCTTTATTTCAAATAGAAATGGCAGAGGAACTAAAAACCTATTTAATGGAACAGTAAGTTCAACACACACAAAAAAAAAATTCTGTGATCAAGAAGATTTCAACCAAATATTCTTGGAAATAAAACAATTTGTAGTAAAATCTACTTATTATGTTAATTGGTCTCTTTAAATTCTCCTGAGGTGCGAGTGTGTCTGTCTCTGTGTTTTCCCATAATGAACTGCCAACTTATACAGGTGTGCCCTGCCTCTCTCTCACCCAATAGCCGCTGGCGATCAGCACCATTAATAAAGTCTTATCAGTTGACTGAATCATTTACAACAGTTGTATAACATTGAATTAAATTATTTTTAAGACTAATTTGTAAAAATTTAAAGGATTTTATTTTTTCACAACTTAATATTTCATTTATATTTTCATTCAAATATACTTAAATTGCTAAAAACAAAATGCCTAAATTAATTAACTTTAACTCAAAAATAAACATAAAAAAATTCTAATTATTAATATTGGCTTTAATTCTTGTTTTAATTTTATGGAGACGATTTGTGGTGTTCTTTTTACAGTGTGTAAGTGTTTTCACATAAATTAACTCACAATGACTTAATGCCAGAGCATAAGGATGCTAATATATATCATTTATCTTCACAGAATCTTAATAGATATTACTAAGACCAAGAATATAATAATTATAATAAAGAGCAGATTAGACACTATAACAGTCTCATTGTTGAGAAGAATGTTGTCCCCAGAATGAGGCTTTTCATGCCTTTTTTTGTTCTTGTATTTTTTCCACACCTATTGTGAATTTTATAAAACAAAAAAGAGATACTATCTCTCTCTCTCTCACACACACACACATGGCTAAACTCCATTCAAATGTTCGTCCTGAACCTAGCCCCTAACTCAAAACTATTACTTCTTCTTATGGGGACCAGGCTTTGAGTACCATGATGTGGTAGTTGTTGAAAAAAATTGCTTTTGCAATGTTCCAAATAAATATGTGTGTGAATGGCTGAGTAGTTGTTTTATAACCTTTCTTTCTTGTTTTTATTATTATTATTATTATTATTATTATTATTATTATTATTATTATTTGCAAGGGGACAAACGTTAAGTATAAACAAAACAGAACATTAACACTTCCCCAGATGGGCATTTAGCAAAATAAAAAAAGTTAAAAGACAATAAAACATAGCAAGTTCAAATCTCAAGGTGTGTGTTAGACTCCAGCTCCTTCTTCTCACATGCCTCTGGGCAAGGACCTAACACTGAGTTGCCTACATGTCTGCACATTATTGTGTAAGCACAGACAGATTTATGGGTGGGAATGTTTGAATATAATTATAGTATACAGTGTGAGTAGAATGACTGGAAAGGTGCCATATATAATCATGCCATTTTACCATTTACAAATGCAAATATTGGCAATAACGCACTGAGAAAATGTAACAATTTGTAATGAACAGCAGGAAATATAAGCCAAAAACTTAAGTGAAGTAAAGAAGAAGAAAGGAGCAATTAATGTTTGTAAGTTAATCGCGTTCCTTTTCTGTATTTTCTATCCACAGGTTGCATTAACAGTCTTGGGAGGAAGTACAGAGGGCAATGAGCGCCATGAACAAGCTAAAAGGGTAAATGGTGAAAATTTGGGAGGAAATTTCTACAATGTTTTCCTCAAAAAATAAATGAATGTAATTGCATTTTGGCTTCTTTAGGAATCCTTGTCTCGTTCCAAAAGAAGATGGGTCCTGAATACCATAGAAGTAGAAGAGGAAATGGACGTGAAATACCCGTACAAAATTACCAAGGTAAAACACAGATTCTTTTTATATATATTGGAAATACGATAATCTGTCGGCTCAATGCCTAGTCAAGGTTATTAATGCACAAACCTGCCACTGATAGTTGGATTATTTGCTTCTCTTCTAGATGAACAATCTTAGGACAGCAGATAGAGAATATGAGTTTGAAATAAAAGGAGCCGGTGTGAAAGGAGTGTTCAGCATCAACGAAACAGGTGGAGAAGTCTACGTACATAGGCGCCTCGACAGGGAAAAGACGCCCTCCTATGAAGTGAGGAACAATCCATCACTATTAATACCTGCCATGATATGTAGTCATTACAAACTGTGTCATCTGAATAAAATATAATCAACAGCTCACATTTGATATCCTGGACAAAAAAACAAAGAAAACAATTGACCGAGATCTATCTTTTGATGTGAATGTAAAAGACATAAACGACAACGCACCGATGTTCACTAATCAGTTTCAGAAAAGTTACGATGTGAAGGAAAATACTAAAGTGGGTAAGTTCATAAACCTGCAAATATGTCAAAAGTCTGCTGGGTTTCTAAATTATGAAACTTTTATATATATAAAAAAAGGTTTTTATAAAAACTTTCTGGTTGTATATTTGAAGAAAAATATTGAGAATTAAGACTTTGATTTCTTGTTTAATGTTAGACAAGTTTAAGGATAACATCTTTATATCAAGGCGACAAAATATTTTTGGCACGTGTGGATATACTTATGCTTAAACGTTCTTTCTGTAGAGTACTGTGGATGACTGAACAGCTACTTTCATGATTTTCTTTCTTTGTCTTCCAGGAGATCACCTGCCAGTGTCCTTGACTGTTGAAGACAAAGATCAGCAAGACACAATCAACTCAACAGTCATGGTCACTGTGGCTAAACAAAACCCGGCTGTCCCAAAGATTGGAGTAAAGAAAGTTAATGATAAACTACATCAACTCGTAACTGAAGGATGCTTTGACTATGATGTAGGTCTTAATTTATTAAAGTGATGTCGTTTTTGGAAATTTATGCACTCTGTGCAGTTTTTGGTAAAGCTAAAATATGTCTATATTTTTCAGAAAGCAAAACACTACTCACTTGTTATTATTGCATCAGATCTTGGAAAGCCACCTCTTTCCAGTAATGTGACTGTTGAACTCAATGTTATTGACACAAACAGTCATCCACCACAGTTTAAAAAGAGACAGGCAAGAATTACTTATATCTATCTATCTATATATATATATATATATATATATATATATATATATATATATATATATATATATATATATACTAAATTTATTATTTCTTCATATTTTTAGTATGAAGCTGAGGCTGTGGAAATGCAAACCCCTGATGATATTTTAAGAGTTGCAGTAGAGGACAAGGACACTCCCAACACGGACGGCTGGCGAGCCAAGTACTCCTTTATCAGCGGCAATGAAGATGGAGTCTACAAAATTACCACTGACCCTGTAACAAATGAAGGGATCATTGGTGTTGTCAAGGTAACTGTTTTACCACACCTTACAGAAAATGCTCATTCATAATCGACTAAACTATGAGTTCACCAATTATTAGCGTAAGTATTATGAGGAGTTACTGAACATCTACACTTGTGTCTTCTTCAGGCAAAGAATTTTGACATAACCACCTTGGTAAAACTGCAAATCGGAGTTGAGAATGTTGAACCTTTAACAGTCTGTAAAGATGGAAAATTAATTAAAGATTTAAGCAGCCTTCCACCAAAAGATTCTGTCAGCATCACAGTGAAAATGGTCGACACTAATGACCCTCCGGTGTTTGAAAAATTGACAGCTGAGCTATACCAGACAGAGGAATCAGAGAAAGGACAGGTGCTGTATACTCCTAAGGTTAAAGATGCTGAATCCGATAACATCAGGTATGTTCTCAATGAAACCTCATTTATGTTCAGCATTATTTGCTTGTTTGACCGGCATTAAAATTATTTGTAAAGTCAATGAATAATTGCAAACTTACTGCCTCACAACTGATCATCACCTAATATGTACATTTGTGCAAGATGTGGTAAAAATGAAAGCAAACAAAAAAATACTATTCAAGTACTGTACCTCATTTAAGATAAGCATATTATGTCATAATCCCTCTTCTATGGGTATCAGCTGGTGTGATTGCAGTGTGGGGGTTTAGTGTGTCTGTTTTATAATTATATGACAAGAATTCAGGCATATAGACTGAATTCTTGACTTGAATACTCAACCTCAAAACAGATAGTTTATTTTTCTCCTGACAATAAAATTGACCTACTGTTTGATTTCTTTTTGTCCAGGTTTGAAAAGTTAGAAGACCCTGCTAATTGGGTGACTGTAGATGAAAAAACAGGAGTAATCACAACAATTGAGAAGATGGATAGAGAATCACCCCATGTAGATGTGAACAGTACTTACAGAATTGTTATTGCTGCCATAGATGATGGTATGACATTTCTAAACACTTGCAGCTACAATCAAACGGCATAATTTATTAATTAAATAACTGAACTGAAAAAATGGCCTTTCCTGTGGTTTTCAAGGTTCACCTCCAGCCACAAGTACATGCACACTCACCGTCCACCTCAGGGATGTCAATGATAACACTCCTATGCTGCTCAGCAAGACTTTTGTTTTGTGTTCAAACCATGGTGACAATGTCACAGTGCGTGCTAAAGATGCTGATGCTGAACCATACAGTGGCCCCTTCAGTTTCTCCTTTGCAGATGGTAAAACTGCGAACGAACGCTGGAAAATAGATCCTACCTACGGTTAGTTCACACTTTGGCCTCACTACCAAAATTACCAAAACATATACTCATAGATGAGCCATAAATATTTACCTTTATGTAGTAATAATAATAATAATAATAATAATAGTCCATTTCATTTGTATAGCAAATTTCTAAAAATGCAAAGACACTTTACAGCAAAATTACAAACGGAGCACTTGAGTACAGCAAACATAATCATAAAAGGAAGTATGTATTCATATATTTTACAAATGTATTTTATTTTTTATAAACAGGTGAAGAGGTTGGCATTGTTTTGCTGAAGAAATCTGACTACGGTAACTACTCTGTGCCAATACGGATTCAGGACAAACAGGGTCAAGCTATGGAGGAGAAATTAGACATTAAGGTGTGCAAGTGTGACGAAACCGGTGTTTGTCCAAAGATCTTGTCAGTTGGCCTTGGTGTCACGGTCATAGGAATAATTTGTGCAGGACTGCTTGCATTTCTGGGTGAGTATATTATAAACAATTACCAAAATTATGAAAATGTATATACTATGTGTGTGTAATATTTTCACTTTTTGAAAATATGACATTTGCGTTGACATTAGCTAGAAGACCCTTTTCTCAAAACTTAAAATATGGCACCACTAAGATGCTAGTTTGACCATTTTAATGAATGAGTGCTTGTCCTACATAAACAAAAGAAATGCTATGCCACTGTTGATATATTGAATCTGCTGAAATAAATTAACTGAATTTATTTTTACATTTACATCCATTTAACCTTATGTTAACAGGCAATTTGAAACTCATGAGATATATATTTAGGATTAGCTTTAAAAGTAAATAGAATTTGTGAACTTTGTGCTCAAACTATTTTAATGTGTCCACAGTGTTTCTTTTAGACTGCAGACTATCAAAATATACATACCCTATAAAGGATGAACAATACAAACAGACATTGACAAAGTACAATGAAGAAGGACCGGGCACTGATTGCATGGTAAGTTGTGGAGTGACTGTGCTGACTTCAGAGAGACTTTTAATGCGACATCTCAGGATTGTCCTCCTTAAACAGTTAACTATTTTTATTCTGGCATCAAACACTAAAATCAACCAAGGATCATATTGTACTTTGTATCATTCACTCCAATTTGCGTGTACAATTAGACTAGATTTAAATAAATTGGATTCATCATGTATTTCTGAATTATTGGAATTTAATCGGGCCACTTTTACTTGTAAAACGCCTTCAGATGACATTTGAAATGAACTGGAGCTATATGAATAACCTAAAATGAATGGAGAGTGTGTAACACAGTGATTATGATGCATTGCTACAGCAAACACAAAGATATTTTTCCCTACTATTTCTTTGCCAGCCTAAGTTAATGACTACGGAGAGTACGACAGACGGCATCAAGCTGGGCCATACACAGGTACTTCACTACTTTTATGTCTTCATTGCAATTCAAGTCACAAACTGTGTGTGCTTACCCTTTGACTGAATGAAAATGGGTAACACTTTATTTGAAGGGGGGTGAATAAGACTGACATGACACTGTCATAAACA